TTGCAAGCTTATTGGAGACAATAAGTGACATAACTGTTTTTATTTTTCTAGAATTACTGCCCCTGAGCTTTGTAATCTAATTTGTCACGAAAAGGTTTATTAGAAAATACTGCAGCTGTATGATGGAAACCTAAGAATCTGATTTCATACGCATCAAGACTGAGTCTCAAATATCTTTTTTACATATTTTATGACATAGTGCATTTCTCTTCTTAACGCCTAAGACATAGTTTATATCAGATCCTATGTCTTTCTCGAAGAACATGCAACACCTTAATGTGCCCCGTGGCAGGGCATGGAAGCTTATTTTTTATTGCTATGAAACCGACCTGATGTGATTTGTTTTCAGTTTGAGTGTGAGAAACATGATGCATTTCTTGCTTCATTTGAGACCAAAGCTGAAAACAACCGTATACGTGATATGATGGAAGTATTCAACGTTCTTAGTAAGTATTTACCCCCGAAGTGAATGTTTCTATTTTATCACAATGGCAAAATGATACCACTGTGGATGTTTGTTGCTGGAACTTTGGACTACCGATATGTTCCAACCCAAGGTCCCAAGGAATCAAACGATTAAGCCTACACGAATGTAAAAGTACACCCACAGATATTTGATGTTTTAAAATGATGTAAGCGTAAATATTGTACGCTACCCATGTGTGTCCTATTTGTATGAAGCACAACATCGCATTAGATATACAAGCAGTTTTATCATTGTTGAGCATTTGTTCCAGTTTCATAGTAATAGAGCCATCGGATATACAAATTGCATTATATGCCCCAAGAAAGCCAGTTTTGTGGTGAAAGTATGCGAAACATTTTTTCCAGAAACTGACAATGTTTGGATCGGACTTTCTGACATACGAGAAGAAGGCGAGTTTGTGTGGGAATCCACGCGACAGAAAGCCACTTACCTCCCTTGGGGGAAAAACGAGCCAAACCAAGCAACAACACAGGAAGATTGTGTCATGTTGTTTGGTAGGCAAGACCACACGTTTTCCGATGACGCCTGTACCCTAAAGTACTCCTATCTGTGTGAAAAACCGTACGTACCCTTTACATTACTTCCTGGTTATTAGTTAAAAAATGATAGAAAGTCTTCAAATAAACAGGTCTTCGTATTCACGTGTGGTTACGACACGTAACCTTTCTCGTAACTAATACCAATATCCATTGACATTAACATGTACAATATTGGTCAAGCAATTTCGGTTTGAGGGTGTTTGTGTTAACACTTCATCTTTACTGTCAAGATCTTAATTGAGTGATTTTGTTTAAACCACTCAGGTAAACATTTCCGAACCAGCTTGTCACTTAATTGTAATTTATCGATAGTTTCATGCATCATATTTTGTTGAAATTGCCTTTAGTAAATATTGCTGATGTTTGTTCTTATGTGTTCTAGTAGTGTGTCAACATATACTTAGTAAAGCGTTAAACGCCATCTAAATCAAATGTGAATAATATTTAGGACTGAAATAGAAACTGAAAATAGATGACATTGTGAATGATGTTAAAAAGCAGTGCGACAGTCGTAAACGTTTCAATCCGCAATGTAATGCACTGCTGCCTGCAAACGGTTCCTACGGTTCCCAGGGGTGCACTTGGTCCTAACTAATGTCATCAAAGGTCGTCCAAGCGGTTCCTACGGTTCCCAAGGGTGCACTTGGTCCTAACTAATGTCATCAAAGGCCGTCCAATCGGTTCCTACGGTTCCCAAGGGTGCACTTGGTCCTAACTAATGTCATCAAAGGTCGTCCAATCGGTTCCTACGGTTCCCAAGGGTGCACTTGGTCCTAACTAATGTCATCAAAGGCCGTCCAAACGGTTCCTACGGTTCCCAGGGGTGCACTTGGTCCTAACTAATGTCATCAAAGGCCGTCCAAGCGGTTTCTACGGTTCCCAGGGGTGCACTTGGTCCTAACTAATGTCATCAAAGGCCGTCCCAGCGGTTCCCACGGTTGCCAGGGGTGCACTTGGTCCTAACTAATGTCATCAAAGGCCGTCCAAACGGTTCCTACGGTTCCCAAGGGTGCACTTGGTCCTAACTAATGTCATCAAAGGTCGTCCAAGGTCCTGAAGACGTGGAATTGACTTGGAATTGGTACACCCACACACCCATTTTTAAAAATTAAATTTGATCTCTATATTTGTTCTATCGGAGGAAGCAAATGTTTAATATTTATTGATTGGATAATAAACCCCTTCATCAGTGGACCTACACAATGGAATACTAACAAACGATTGTCCCTCCAGAATTGTTAGGAACCGTTCGTTCTCGTAGATATGCCCAGGTGATTGACGTGACGCAGGGAACCGGGCTTCGTAAAGAAGGACCCATTGGTCCGTTGAGTGAGGGCTGCTGACGGTCAAGTTCCAGAGTTTGGAGACCAGGAAAGAGCCGATTTGCCCTTTGCCATTTTCAAGCTATCCCCCAAGATGGTGGATGATCAGTTTGGATTGGGGTGTGTGGGGTGGTTTTTTTTGTTACATCAGCAGTATTTACTTGAGGCAACATGAACAAAATATAATACATGCAACCTTGATCTGTTGACCGTGAGAGGAACGCTAAGCCAACTATGCCCAACTATGCTCCACCTGTTGGATCTTCTTGGACATGAATTCCATCAAGGAAATCCTCATGTGCCTTGGTTACTTCTGATATGCATCTTATTCAATCCCATATTGCTTTCTATGAAACTTCCTCATGGTATGTCTTTCCGGTGTGGCTAATGTTTCAAACATTTGGTGGCGCTCAGCTATTTTACTGAGTATATATGAGAGGTCTACTCTAATCCTCTTTTATGCTTTGGGTTTTTTTCAGTTTGGATGGTGGCTTACCTGTCATCGGATGAACAACCTGGCGACCGAAACATCATAATATTGTGTGAAAAGTGAAATTAAACTCGTTGGTGGTCAATCACAGTGCTCATGTTTTCACATTTAATGGAGCAGACTCCACATGAGGTGACCTAAGTCACCATTTTCCTATTCGTTCCCTGTACCCATCATGACAATAAACTGTGGTACAGCCGGCAAAGTAAATTCTAGAAAATCCCAAACTAGCATTTAATTACTTGTATAGTTTAACAGGGTTTGAAAGCTGTGACTACGGTACAAAATCTGTTCCGACCATACATAACCTTCTGAAAGTAAAATAAGCGTAACCTTGTGCATTATAAAGCATGGCGCATTCGTCCTCTATTCATCGGTAAGTTCAACATGCCGCTTGGACATATTCGGAACTTTAAGTTTGTTCCACTGAAAAAACATTTGGCGCTTATAGAACGACGTGTACAGGTAAACACTGAAGTTATAGACCATCCCGTCGTGACCGACCGCCTCCGTGGTGTAGTGGTTAGAGCGTCCGCCCGGAGTGCGGAAGGTCACGGGTTCGATCCCCGACCGCGTTATACCAAAAGACGTTAAAATATGGTACTTGTTGGTCCTTGCCTGGCGCTCGGCATTAATGGGTACAACAAGGACTGGTCGGCTAGGAGTCAGTATAATGTGTCTGAGTGCGGCATGGTTATCTCAGTGGGCTAGCACTATAAAACCAGCTTCATTCTGGGCTAGTACAAGCAGCCGCTCACATACACATACACACGCATGCATGCACGTCGTCATATGAGCGAAATATTCTCAAGCACGACGTTAAACCCAATTCCACCACCACCACCCGTCGTGTGACCATCCACGAGTAACAACGCAAAGTCAGGACCTATGAACCGAACCTGGCCGCAACCCTTAGAGCCTTACCCTACATGATAACATAACTGTATCAACGAGAATAGTTCAACGGCATCCGTTCAAGACGCCCAGTCCACGTCGACGTCATCAATGTCCACCTTGTGACGGGGAGCATGCGTGTGGAGAAGAGTTTTCTCACCGATGAGTCATGTTTACCTGTTCAACGAGCTGACAACAGGGTACTTGTCTACAGGTGCACAAGTGAACGTAACATCAGGCTATGTGTTCTGGAAGGGGTTACTTTGGAGGTGGGGGCGTTATAATCTTGGGTGGGAGAACAGCTGCAGCCAATGATTGTGATTGAGGGGAACTTCATTGATCTGAGGTTTCGAGAAGAGGTTTTGCAAATGGCCACTTTACCGTTTTTTTGCAAAAAACGGGGACACATGTTGCTCTGGTTGTACGGCAGCATCTATATTAGAACAATGTTAATGCGCTATCTTGGTCTGAAAGATCCCCTTATGTGTCACTCTTTGAACACGTCTGGGATGAAATTGTACAACGTTAACGACCTCATCCGAATCCTGAAACACCTACACCAAATCTATCATCGGATATGGAATGATCTTCCTCGGGACATCGACGATTATTTGTTTACCTCGTGGTGGTGAAGGTGCTGATTAATGCTGAAGGTACATACAATCGCTGCAGACTGACTGAACATGCTTGTGAACCCTATCTCCTGTTAAGGCGCATTGGCATATGTCAGGTGCGCTGTTACTGTGTACTGTTGATTGTTGCCATACCTTGAAACATATTGTGTTCCACATAACAACATTTCATTCGCGGCAATAAAGGTTTTAACACTGACTCGTGTTTTCGTGTGTCGTAGTGGCTTAATTTAATTCATGGTAATGTGTAATGTGATGCAATTAAGTCAGTTGTCATTTATTAACAAACTGTTTACTCACATAATGATATCCACATCAGGAAATATGGGATTTGCATACAATCGGGGTGAGTTTGCATTGCCTCTTTCAAAATACATCTGTACAGAAATACGTACAGGCATATGTAAAGGAAGGAGTACATGCTCGTGTACAGAACTGCGTAAATACATATGCACAGGTGCGTCCCCTTATCATTAGAGCAAAAACCAAATCCTAAGGTGTCCGTAGAACAGAATTGAAAATGACAACGCTCTACCTAGGTCCAAATGTCGACCCAAATTTATGTAAGGGAAATATTATCTTATCTCTGGAAATATGGTGACACACCTTAATATCTGAATTCACGTTTCGCATTAAGGTGCTGATCTGTCGTGGATGGTCAACGTCAATCACAGCGGCAATGATTTTGAATAGTTGCTTGAAATCAATCCTTCTGTTCTATTTATCATCAACAGGTTGGTACAGTCAGGTATTCATGTTACCATTTGATTTGCACAATACTCACTTATCTTGTTTTCTCCGTCTGATTATTTTGTATACAAGCATATTGACAAAGAACGTTGGCCAAATTGTGTCCGGGACATTGCTGTGAGAGAAGTGGTTTACAAGAAATTGTCAGTTGGTTCATATGGACCAGAATAGAACTCTTCTCCGCATAACAGATGCGCAAATGACTTTCACCAAAGTGGTAAATATTAGAGACAAGCGTAACTTCTTCCTTTCCTCATTCATTAACGTGACATGCAGGTAGCAGAGATATAATTTGTGAAGATTTGAATATAGAATGGCAAAGAAAGGAATTTTATAAAATCCACACCTGATTTGAATGAATTATTGGTAATCAACACAAGAAAAAGACATGAAGAAATTAATAGATTTCTGACAACATGGAGAAAAAGACATCTGACACTGATTGGCAAAATCACTGTAATTAAAACATTGGCTCTTTCAAAATTGGTTCACATTTTCAATTCTTTACCTAACCCACTTGATGAATTTATCACTTCCCTTAAGAGACTATTTTTCAGATTTATTTGGAATGACAAAAATGACAAAATTAAACGGAGCGCTTTAAAAAAAGATTATACAGAAGGGGGTTTACGCATGACAGATATTAAAACTTTGTTAATGCCAGGAAACCCTCTACACTCAGACTCTATTTGAGAAAAACAAATATGAGTAATCCATGCAATTTTCCATTAAATGATATACTATAATATGGAGCAAACTTTCAGAATATTGTTGAAATTGATAATCCTTCTTGGAAAGATGTTTTACATAACAATGATGGGGATAATAACTTTCTTCATAAAATTGTATGGATTTGAAAAAAGGTTCAAGATTATTTTATGATAAACTCTTATCTAACAATATTAAACCTCATATTTGCCTTAAATGGGAAAACGTATTTTATGATATTGATTTTGATGGCGTATGATTTTCAATATTTGCAGAGAGAATTTGAAAGATGTAAAACATTTAGGTTTTAAATTTATATTTTTGCACAGAATTATTTATATAAAAAAAAGAGCTTATGAAAATGAAACTTGTTGACAATGTATTATGTAGCTGTTGTAATGTTTATAGTGAAACTTTAGTCATGTATATTGGGCATGTGCTGTAACCCAAACCTTCTGGAAGGAACTTGAAAATTGGATAATCCAAAACATACAGAAATTTGAAATAACAAAGATCTTGGTTTGGTTTGGAATTTTGGGTAATAAGCCAACTCAATCATATAATCTTATCTGCTAAATGATATATACTTGCACTTTGAAGAAAATAATTCCAAAAGTTAATAATTTCTTAAAAATTCTTCTAAATAATACGGTTGAGAATTTCATATCCAGAAGGAACAATAATTTTGATAAATTTTCAGGCAAATGGTTTCCTTTATTTTCGAACGTAATCTATAATCGAAGGGGAATAATTTTAATGGATTATAATCTCTTTATGCTATCAGTTGATCTAACATTTTTGTTGAACCCAATGAATTTGATCATGTATTTGTATATTTACTGCTTTTTTTATAAGATTGTATTCAATTATGGGAACAAATAAATAGATTTACAAAATTAATTTAATTTTTTTTTAAATGTTGAAAAAAAACGTGACATGCAGTGATACGTTATATACGTGTTACGTGTTGCTTATTTGATCCAGCATTATCCGAAACCATAAACTCATCCCAAATGTATGTCACACTACCTGTCTAGAATTGTCCAAATTGCCAATAGCTGAAGGGGATGTAAATCCAGCTGCGGTTCATGCAGGTAGCAAAAGTACTGTAAGTCCCCATGGTCCCTAGTATGGTAATCTACCTTCAGTTGTTGGTGATCTATAGCCTTTTTTTATATTTTTATTTATGTTTTATTTTATGTTTTATTTTTTATTTAGTTATTTTATTTTATTTATTTTATTTTTTAAATTTTTATTTTTTTATTTTATTTTATTTTATTTTATTTTATTTTATTTTATTTATTTTATTTATTTATTTATTTATTTATTTATTTATTTATTTATTTATTTATTTATTTATTTTATTTTATTTTTTATTATTTTTTTTTTTATTTATTTATTATTATTATTATTTTTTTTTGGGGGTTTATATTGTATTGTCCCAAAATTATTTGATTTAACTTAACATACTAGTTTTAATCTAACTGTGATAGCCTAGGTGTTTTACTGTCCTTTGACGACAGGTTCTATAATATACACGTAGTCTTTATCAACATCAAAATTGTTCTCGTCACGATATGGCTGATACAATGCCGATGTGACGTTAACTAGTAACTCACTCACTCACCCACCCACTCACCCACTCACTCACTCGTAATGTATTGTACACACACTAACCTCTGGTTGACTGGCAGTTTAGAAGTACGTGAATAACAATAAGTTAAGATACATTATGGATGACAACTACTTTAACTAATACAATGCAGCATATTTGTTGCAGTGTATATTGTTCAGTGGTAGTAGTGCTTGACAACGGTCTCAGGATCTATAATCGATAATTGATAAACTAACCTTACTTCTTATAAATGTGAGTGTCTTGAACATTGATACACCTCAGCTGATATGTTATCGCATGTTATTCAAATCCATTGTTTCACTTTACCATCGTTGTGTGGATTGATGCTGCGTTTAACACTGGTCAAATACTTTTTCGTCTTCAAACAAGTCATTGTTTTAATGGTGAGTTTTGGTTTCAGTTACCTCTATTTGCCCTGACGGATGGACAAAGTATGACCAGTCATGTTATGCCGTGTACAAGTCGAAGTCTTCCTGGTTAGATGCAGGGGCAGGTTTTTAATCATTGTTTTATTCCACCCCGTTTTTGTGCTTGACGGAACCCGGCAATTTGGGAGCTAAATGACGGCGATCTGTACATAATCGAGCCTGAACCAAACAATTAAGTGAATGGCATCATGTGCATCTGGACTCGATTATTTACAGGCCGCCGCCATATAGTTGGAATATTGTTAATGCTCATGACTCATCAAAACCATTTACAGAAGAAGTGGAAAGGTCGGTTGTAGGCTTTCGTTAAAAGGAACGTCTTTAGGGCCTTCTTGAAAGAGTCGGGTTGGGGCAAGTTTGATTTGGAGCGGTAAAGAGTTCCATACGAAAGGCGCGACATGCTGAAATCTTTTCTGTAGCTGCTGTTACGTTGTACAACACAACACACCGGTGAAATAGTTTTTATGTATCTATTTATTTATTTATTTATTTATTTATTTATTTATTTATCATTAGCATTTACACGGTTTTGCATAACAATATATTCAAGAGAATAGAGCATGTCAGTTTGACCAAACTTTATTGAAGTAGTCTCCATTACAATAAATGATCGAGGTAAAGGTGAAATAGTTGACTAAAGTTAAGATATATTGAAAGTTCAGTCTTTCTTCGCGGTTCTAGCAGGGATCCGAGGTTAGAATGGTTCTCAATGAAGTTTTTAGTGCGGTTTAGTACGTGGCATTGTATCCGAGGTTGTTCATGGTATCAACCACTGGTTTGACTCGCCATTTTGCAGACCGACGTCATATCAATATTTTAGTATAAGACGAACAAACAATTCTTTGTTGGAGATGACAACATGGCTGAATATTTCCATCTAATTTCAGAGTTACTGCCGTGAATTCGGGGGACATCTTGCAACACTCAACACAACTCGTAAAGTGACGAACATAAAAGCCTTTCTCAATTATGTAAACCGTAAGCTAAACAACTTGTCTTAAATAGAGGCTCCTGTTACTGTATGACCTCGTCAATGGTATAATAATGAAATATATGTATGTAATGATTTAAATGATGAGCAGGTTATCACAAATACGGAAATAAATGTGTCACAACATTAAATTTGTACCATATCTGAATGTTTAACGCCGCACTCAGCAATATGCCAGCTATATGACGGCGATCTGTAAATAATCGAGTCTGGAGCAGACAATCCAGTGATCAACATTATGGGCATCGATCTACATTGGGATCCTCACGGGTCGAATGTATATTTTGTAGACGGTATAACAGGAATAATGACGTATAATGAATCTGTTTTTGTTCCATGTAGAAAAAGATAACGTCTGGGTCGGCGCTAGCGACCTAAGGACAGAAGGGCTGTGGGTGTGGGACATTGACCAGGCCAGCTTCACAAACACTGACTGGCACCCTGGTCAACCGGACGGAGGCAGTCAAAATTGTCTGGAGCTTTATGAACCCACCAAGTTCACGTGGCACGACACCGTCTGCTCAAACAAATTTGACTACATATGCGAACGAAGGTATTTGAACGCGTTACCCTCACAACTTCATGGGCTATTTGATACTGCTTATATGAATGCCAGCGGCAGAAGGGATGATGTAAATCCAGCTAGGGTCCATGCAGGTAGCAAAGGTACTGTAAGTCCCCATGGTCCCTAGTATGGTGATCTACCTCCAGTTGTTGGCGATCTATAGCCTGTGTTTATATTGTATCGTCCTCTATAGTTAAAGTATTTTAGATTTCATTACTAGTTTTAAATATATATCTGTGATAGTCTAGTTAGTTTTACTGTCCTTTGTCGACAGATATTTTAAATTGATTACCTTGTTTTCATCGCTATATGGCTGTAATATTGCCGATGCGATGTCAAATTTTAACTCACTCACTCACTCACTTATATGAATAGTCAAAGAGTCTTACCTTGTTTCATTTCACAGTTACATAATACACGTACACCTTGATAGGCACCATACATGATAATTGTGTTAATAAGTGATATGTTATGTGCATTTTAAGTTAAACTTTCAAAATGCAAAGTTACACAATTACAAAATGTATTAACAATTTACGCCTTTCTTTCAGATCCGAAGCCGCCCTCTAACTTAATGTTCTATCGGCAGGCTACATATCGCCAGCACCGCATTCCTGCCTAAAGAGAATCGATGTCTTTGTCATCTGTAACGAATAAATGGGATGAAATCATCAGTTACTATATCGTATAGCAATCACACCATCCACATATGAAAGTAAAGAAACCAAACACGTAACTATAGGTCCCGATTATATCGTTACGAGCCCATTTTGGTTAGCCTCCTTATATTGTAATTCTGAAGAAGGTCGGATGATCATCTCCTTACATTGTAATTCTGAGGAAGACCGGATGATCATCTGCTTATATTGTAATTATGAGGAAGTTCGGATGATAATCTGCTTATATTTTACTATTTATAAGGTTGGGGGTTTTCCATAAAAAGATGTCCTAACTATTGATATTTTATATATTTAATGAGACACACAGTTTAGGACAGCTGATTGAGATCTGCAGTAGTCGTTGAACTCTAGATGACCATAGTTTTGCCAAAGCGTCCTACTGTCCATCACGTCATTTACCATCAAAAGTCAAACTCATTAATATCGCAAGAATTCGCCTCTATTTTCAAGGTAATCCCGGATTCAATGAATACCTCGAGTGTCAACTTGGTTTATTCCATTTCACTCTTCTTGTAGCGCAGTGACAGATTCGTTTAAGGTCGTGGTCGGTGGCTGTAGACAGTGGTCCAGGAATATCCCAGACATATTCCATATTGTAACATTGTCTGGACTGGGACCTGGCAATGGTTAGGTGGTTATGTTCTCCTGTTGCTCCTGTAAGGTTTCTAGCCCGAGTGCTTTGCGTTGCCATCCTGATGTTACCCCGGAAGTACTCTCAGTGACAAGTCCGTGGGTAACATGTTCTGCTAGTCACAGTGATCCCAGGCCATTACCGAAACGATCGTTCGTTCTAACATTAATAGCATGAAAACGCCAAACGACACACCCTATTCGGCCTGTCCAAAACAAACTTCGCTCAACGACGATTGGACAAGCACTCCCGCTCTTGCTCTTGGCACCACCAACTTCTTACAGTGATGTGACGGTCCGTCAGGCGTGGGATACCACGTGGACGTCGGGCATGAAGGTTACATTGGTGAAGCCCTACTCACTCTCACATCTGTAACTATGTTCAGATGCACTTTGACACGTTCGCAGGAAATGATGCGTCAGATGCCGCCCTTATCGGCCAGCTCGACGTCTATCAACAGCGCTATTGGTATATCAATATCGTGACTGTTAATTTCTGACTGTGAAAGGTAAGGAGCTCTTGTTCCAGCATTCAAATTGCACGTAGCCGTTTCTGAGGTGACCGACGCCGCACATGATACAACGATTATATGAATTTAAATCAATATCAGAACACTGAAATGTGCAGCAACAACAGCAACACACGAATAGGTTTTACAGGAACTTTTTACCCCGACCATGTTCACGAGAAAAAGTTTGTACGAAATTCATAACACATTCTGAATGAAATAATCATTTTCTAAATCCGTATACAATCATACAACATGATTCTCAAAAGATGTCATCCCAGAATGGAATATCCACTACTATTTTTACTACTGTCAATGGCTGTTTGGGTGATCCTCTGCATAACATTATCCCTGGTACCGACTTTGTCACAAATGTGGCAGAATCGTTATAAAACTACTGACTAACATTGCGTATTGCTCATTAATACGTCAAACATGAAAGCAACGAGGAAATCTACACTGGGGTAAACAGAGGTTAATCTTTACAACTACGCGTTGTATTAACGTCAGTTTTTCACATGTGATTATCGTCATATATCGCTCCATTGCATATGTAAAGCTTTTCTAAAAATGATTTACGAATACATTCTCGGCCTCTTCTAAGGGTAAAATATGTTATCATTGATGTTCTATCATTTGATAAGATATTATGGTTTGAAAAAGTAAATATCCACTTCCTAAAATTAAAAAAATGTGTCACCGACTTTTTCACATGTATTGACATTGGACAAGAACAAACCAAAGAACATGAATATCCCTTGTGTTGCCTGTGCGTTGTGATATTAGAAAGAGTTTCAGGACAGCTCAAGATGTTGGACGTTCTTAAACCTCTCGCAAGGCAAAGACAACGGCGTCAACGAACCTTAAAAAATAGATAAATACCGGTTGTTGCCTCAGTTCAACAGTACGCAAAGGTCAAATCACGGGGTCACCATGTGTTCTATTCCCTGACTTACACCTTTGATTTAGTGATGGGAAATTAGTGACGTAATACGCCACTGAAGCTATGTAATAAAAGCCACAATACTTAAAGAATAGGTCGTGTCATACTGTTTTAGTACATTAAACATAAATAAAAAATATCAGAATATATACTAAACCGCAAAAGAAACGCTACACCGATAGATGTTTCTTAAAGCACACACTTTATTCGCCCTTATTAACAATCAAAACGGAGGATTGAGTTCAAACTTGACAATTTATCGTTAACATATTTTCGGGAATCACATTTAGAGTTCACACAAACAAAATCACCAAAAATGGTATCATTAGGATACCTCAAAACCAGTGTCGTGTGTGGCCTCCATGGACAGCGTTGCAGATGTGATTTCCGTGACGTCCAAAATGTGGTACAACGTCTTATGACTTGGTCAATATGGCAAGCAGCTGTCACGCCATTTCCTCGTCCTGGACCGAGATTCTAAAACACCACGGTGCCAACTCTCTGGTTCAGACCGATTGCACCCCAAAACATGATGCTTGGACCACCCCAGGAGCCTCTTTCAACAATACACTCATTGGACACTCATACCACGCCTTCACAATACTCTCACTCTGCCAACGGCTGTCGAAACACAATATCGGCTTTCATCAAAAAAAAGCACAGTTCTCCATCGTCGATAACGCCAATTTCGATGCTGAGTTGCCCATTGCAGTCGGTTTGGGCGCGGTGAGGACAGGACCACGATATGGTCTGTGACAGCAGAGGTTTCCTCCGTGCACGTTAACCAAATGTTACAATCACAATGAAAACACCACCTTGTAAGAAGAAAAAATTGCATTTGGTTTTGAAATTTCTTTTGCGTTTCAGTATATTACAATATGGTCAACAACTCGTTACATCATTCACTCGTCAACCAAGCTGCAAAATGTGTCGTGTATAAGAACGCTTTGAAAATGAAAAGTGATGGCGTAAAATCGGACGTTCTGCTTCGACCACTCGACAGAGGTTCTCAAATACGTCATAACACCCACATTTTGGAATAAATATGGTTAGGAAACGCATATGTTATTATGTACCAGTAACCCTACAGAGATAGATAGACATGTGAAAGAAGCGTGTGTGATGTGACCCTGACAGTGATTGGTGTCGGGAATTCTTCATGTTGAAATAGGTTTCCTCGCTGGTGATAAGCTGTTCTACTGAGTTATCGATAGCAATGGTAGAACATATGTTAGGGCTTGTGTACTTGATAGGCGAAGCCCGCCTTTCATACATACATAAACAATGTCATAGATAATAGATCAGGTTAATCTTTGTCTTCCCTCGGAATGTCGTTCACTGTTGCATTGGGGGCCTTCCTTGTACTTGCAAGTGTAACACTTGTGACCGAAGGTATGTTTCATATGGCAATACCATGATCATTTGCAGGTATTCTTTATTCGGAGGAATGGATTTCGCTGCTTTTCCAAAGAACAGGAATATTCCATAGTTAATTGTGCTGAGTTGCGTCTTCAAAACGTTCAGTGGTCAAACCTTTAGTGGTCACTATACCCGAACGAGAGATGAAACACGGTGATGATTTAAGGTCCTTCAAGACTAACCCCAGTGAACATCGTCTAGCTGCTTCACGTTGTTGTTTATCAAATATTCCGGTATATGATGGCGGTCTGTAAGTCATCGATTATGGATCAGAGAATCTCTTCATGTTGAGAATTCAACTTAAGATAAGACTGAAATAATACTGAAAGCTTTGTTCAAACTCAGTTCACTTATAGGTGTGTGTCCAAATGGTTGGACGAAGTATGACGATTCTTGTTACTCCGTGTTTACCAACAAGAATTCCTGGCATGAAGCACAGGTCAGTGTCCTTTAAGGATTCTACACAGACAGGTTGAATGATGATAAATATCTCCATCTCACGTACCAATAACATAAACAAGTACATTACCCCACGTATGCTCAACAGTGGCATTTAAAATACTTTGTATACTCAACATGGACACGCATCAAAATATACATGGTGTGTCATTTGCTATAAGACATTCTGGCCTTTTGCATTTACAGAGCAGGTTCTTACAATGTAACATGTAACAAAGTGGAGTGTGTGTGTCTCGGTGTGTGTGTGAGTGAGTTCATCTGATTTTTATGCCGTTTTAAGCAATATTCCACCAGTCTCACGGCAAATCTTCAAACTTTGATAAGGATCGGTGGGGTAGCCTAGTGGTTAAAGCGTTGGCTCGTCACGCCGAAGACCCGGGTAAGCATCCCCACATGGGTACAATGTGTGAAGCCCATTTCTGGTGTCCCCCGCCGTGGTGTTACTGGAATATTGCTAAAAGCGGCGTAAAACCAAACTCAGTAAGTCAGTCAAACTTTGATTTCTTGATGAAACACTGTTATCATATCATCTATACTATTCAGAAAGAAGATAAAGTGCGCGTTGCGGTTGTCACAACCATTGACATTGTATGGAATTAATCTTTAATTTGGTATAATTTGATCATGATGTAGGTTTGTATGACTTAATGCACATTCCAAGTGTTTCGCCATTTTGGAGATTTATATATTCCAGCAATTTTGCACAGAGTTTGGTTCTCATCTCGCAACACTGGATACCAAGGCCAAAAATACCAACGCCAGAGACTTTCTACACTACCTAAGAGGTATATTATCTGTACTATTTGTTTCGTGGCAGGGGAAAAAATAAATACCATCAAGTAATATTGACCAGCATATAAATATGCGAACTGTGTAGGGAGATGTGTGTTTACTTGTGTACTTGGGATCCTTGCACTATACCTATCAAAAAGAGCGGTTCAACATAGCGCAAAACTTAAGATAGTTGGCAAAGGTCCGACCGAATTATTAATAAAGTCGCACGTTATTGATAGCAAAGAGACCCATGTTTTACCCTGAACATATATAAAGGCAGGTTCTGGGTTAGGATAGATGTCCAGCCACACATCATTGTTAAAAGAACAGGCTAATGGATAAGGCAGGTCACTAGATATGGTGGCTAGGCTGCTCTTCTTAGGGGAGTCAATATCAATCACCGGCTTGTTGAGTCCAGATTCAAATATATATATATGCTTTCAGAATATAACTGAACTATGAATTAGTGTGCGCTTGGCACCCATTCAATCAAACAAACAAATGGTTTCATGTAATCTTATGACTGCTCCAGTCAACGAGAGCGTGTGGATTGGGGTTAACGATCGACACAAGGAAGGAGCGTGGATCTGGGACAGCAACCAGAAGCCGGTAACCTACACAGCGTGGGCATCTGGAGAACCTAACCAATCAGATGGTCATCAAGAAGACTGTGTTATCATGTATTCCAGTCGTTCATTTAAATGGGCTGACTTGGCGTGTTCTAACAAACGCCTCTACCTTTGTGAAAGACCGTAAGTATGCACGAAGCGTCTAACCCTAAGTTACACTGTGTGCGAGTCAATGTCTGGAACTTACGTATAAACGTACAAGTAGTAAGTTGAAAGCTATGTTTCCAAAGCATATATGTTATGATCAGAAGGTCAAACAATGATAGTTTGTTTTTATCATCATCATTCAGGTACGGTCTAAAGCGACTACCTTGAGGATGTGATGAAGCTTTCAATAAGGATTCGACTGAATCAGCTGTTCGAGTAAGTGTTTGTACAGTGTAAGTTATGTTTGGTTTGTTGCAGGTCTGTCCCCGAACACTGATTGGATGTTCGCGTTCATAAAGTGTGTTATGAAGGCATATGTCATCATGTCCATAGCCGAAAGAGTATTAAATCATTCAGAATTTGCCTTTTGTTTGTTAATGTTTTCATATGTAAAAAGTAATATTTCTCTTCATGCAGTACTTGTGACAAGACATAATCATAAGCCTCTACCTGGGCCAGTACCTTTACAGTAATGTCACTTGTGGTTATTTGTTTACGAACAAGAGTGACCATGAAGCAGCTATTCTTGGAAAACAAACGCTTCATGGTTTTTGTTTATTCTTTTAAGAGACTATTTTTACATCAGTCCCTAAAACCCGTCAGTTTTTTTGAACGGTGGTGCAGGAAGATCGTTGTCCCTGCCATACACAGCGCAAGACCTTAATGGACATGGACTCTCCCACCAGAGGTATCGGACACCGACAGGGTTGAGGTTGTTGATGCAGCCGGCGGTGGACAACGTAACTGACGCGGTGTGGTGCTCTACTATGGGAGCAGCTGCCCAGACGTCTTGGGACTCACAGGTCTTGTGTCCAGAACAACATACCTTTGACAAAAGAACAGTATAACCATTTAGGCACATGGTCACATAAACCTAGATGAACTAGGAATGCATTTGTGCAGATATAATTATGTGTTGAGTCAATATCTGTAACAGTTCAAACGAACTGCTACCACTAATACGGTACCTCGTAACCAGTGTTGTTCCTAACTTCAATCGGTGTCTTCCCATTGTTGAACTCAATAGTGAGTGTTTCGGCTACATTGTCAACTTTATATGAAGATGGGAAGGGTCCTTCATACTCTAGTCCGGTCTCGTGGTAGGCCACAGCAAGTGCTGGCAGAATCAAACGGGAGGCCATGTCCTGCTTGTAACGAGGATGAACTCTACAAAATATGACAAAATCCTTAAAACCCAATTAAGTCAGTGCTTGTATTAAAAAACACTTACTTACTGGCTATTTTAAGTGAATATGTGATACCTATATACGGAGTCATCATAGCACGTAGATCGTGGATATTATTAATGATCAAACAAATCCGTTTATATCAAAAGCTTTGACATAATAGGAATCATAAGGTGGCAAAAACATTTTGCGATAGGCCATCAGTGGTAGAAATTGTTCGGCAATGCTCCTCGAGGCGAAGATGCTTAGATAATGCTTAAAGGGTGATAACGATCCTTCCAGTTGTAAGTCCTGGTGAATTTTGTTAAAGTCATTAAAAACCCAATTGTATTTCTTCAAACTCAAATTTCATGACCTATACTAATCAAACATATGACTCTGAGACAAAGTAAGGGTCATCCCTGTCTATGGATACCAGGTCGTGGGGAACATTCCTCCTTTAACATATATTATAAAATTTTATATCCATATCTATCACGGTGTTATTTACGACAGAGAAACCAATCTAGCACTTTACTCGTCAGAGAGTTACATAGTTGGCAGTTATCTATTTGTGACCTTAACAAGGGACTTTGCAAATTCCAACTTACGCTCCCGAAGGTGATGAAAAGTCAGGTAAGTCCAAGGACACGGCCATAAATACGTTCTTCATCTTCGGGTTAGGCACATAGCCATAGTTGGCTGTCTGAGCCAGGCGGGTGTCAGGCCAGCCTCCGCGAATGCTGCTGTCATTTCTGTATGCGGCGAGCTGTAGACATGTACATACCATAGAGAATCTCACCCAAGTGTCATCTGATAACAATTATATCAACACGAGTAAATAAAGTTACAAATATCCGAGTGTTGATATATTTGATATCAGAAGACACGAGGATGAGATTCTATTTATGATCCAAAATGACTCTTCGTTAGTTTTCAATGAAACAATGTACATCTCTGAACACGGTACTGCCATTTGAGTTGCAGTGCAGGGATATCATAGAATTGTACGTCATCAAGTTCATGACGTCATTGCAGTGTCAGGGCATTGTACAAAATCTGCTGTCAAAACGATATCTCCTAGGAAGTATCGTTTGATCTCACACAAACAATATCTCCTGTGGAACACAGTTTTGGATTATAAATTACTGTACATGTACATGTTGAGAGTCTACAAAATATTATCTCAAAATACTTTAGCTCTGTACATAATATCACCTTCATTACTTGATGTCTATAAAGGGTTAATTGGAGAGCCTAATTCTGTACCTATAACAGTACCTGCACAAATCCAAATGGAAAATCAACGTCCGTTTCACCCAGTGATTCTTGGTGCCAGTGTTTTCTCCAGTCTTCGATCATTGTTGGGAAACTGCATGCATATCTACTTGCATGACCGACGTCATTTTCACCTGGAACCATAATGACAATTTATACACTAACTTTAATGTAATCGCGATATTTTACTCTTTAGTCTGAACGTGAGATCCGATAAACCAAACATTACTAACCTTGATACCAAAGAACGCCATAAATGGACAGTGGGAGCAGTGGGCTGATCATAGCATTCCACAATTCAAAGTTCTGTGGAGATCTGCAATATTAAAACAATTCAGTTAACATCTAAGGATCCATGTAAAGTGATCGCCTGGTTGAAACGATTGCAACATTCAGTCAATATCTAAGGATGAATGTAAAGTGTTCATCCGGTGAAAACAATTGTAATATTCAGTTAATTTGTAAGGATGCATGTAAAGTGATCATCTGGTTAGAACCATTGTAATATTCAGTTAATATCGAAGGATTGTGAAAACCATTGTAATATTTAGTTAATATGTAAGGAGGCATGTAAAGTGATCATCTGGTGAAAACCATTGTAATATTCAGTTAACATGTAAGCTAGCATGTAAAGTGATCATCTTGTGAAAACCATTGTAATATTTAGTTAATATGTAAGGAGGCATGTAAAGTGATCATCTTGTGAAAACCATTGTAATATTCAGTTAATATGTAAGGAGGCATGTAAAGTGATCATCTGGTGAAAGCCATTGTAATATTTAGTTAATATGTAAGGAGGCATGTAAAGTGATCATCTTGTGAAAACCATTGTAATATTTAGTTAATATGTAAGGAGGCATGTAAAGTGATCATCTTGTGAAAGCCATTGTAATATTCAGTTAATATGTAAGGAGGCATGTAAAGTGATCATCTTGTGAAAACCATTGTAATATTTAGTTAATATGTAAGGATGCATGTAAAGTGATCATCCGGTGAAAACCATTGTAATATTCAGTTAATATCTAAGGATGCATGTAAAGTGATCATCCGGTGAAAACCATTGTAATATTCAGTTAATGTAAGGATGCATGTAAAGTGATCATCTGGTGAAAACCATTGTAATATTCAGTTAATATGTAAGCTAGCATGTAAAGTGATCATCTTGTGAAAACCATTGTAATATTCAGTTAATATGTAAGGAGGCATGTAAAGTGATCATCTTGTGAAAACCATTGTAATATTTAGTTAATATGTAAGGAGGCATGTAAAGTGATCATCTTGTGAAAACCATTGTAATATTCAGTTAATATGTAAGGAGGCATGTAAAGTGATCATCTTGTGAAAACCATTGTAATATTTAGTTAATATGTAAGGATGCATATAAAGTGATCATCCGGTGAAAACCATTGTACTATTCTGTTAATATCTAAGGATGCATGTAAAGTTATCATCCGGTGAAAACCATTGTAATATTCAGTTAATATGTAAGGATGCATGTAAAGTGATCATCCGGTGAGAACCATTGTAATATTCAGTTAATATCGAAGGATGAATGTAAAGTGATCATCCGGTGAAAACCATTGTACTATTCTGTTAATATGTAAGGATGCATGTAAAGTAATAATCTGATTAAAAAACATTGTAATTTTAGTTTATATTTAAGAAGTCATGTAAACTGATCATCTGGTGAAAACCATTGTAATATTCAGTTAACATGTAAGCTAGCATGTAAAGTGATCATCTTGTGAAAACCATTGTAATATTCAGTTAACATGTAAGCTAGCATGTAAAGTCATCATCTGGTGAAAACCATTGTAATATTTAGTTAATATGTAAGGAGGCATGTAAAGTGATCATCTTGTGAAAACCATTGTAATATTCAGTTAATATGTAAGGAGGCATGTAAAGTGATCATCTGGTGAAAACCATTGTAATATTAAGTTAATATGTAAGGATGCATGTAAAGTGATCATCTGGTGAAAACCATTGTAATATTAAGTTAACATGTAAGGAGGCATGTAAAGTGATCATCTGGTGAAAACCATTGTAATATTCAGTTAACATGTAAGCTAGCATGTAAAGTGATCATCTTGTGAAAACCATTGTAATATTTAGTTAATATGTAAGGAGGCATGTAAAGTGATCATCTTGTGAAAACCATTGTAATATTCAGTTAATATGTAAGGAGGCATGTAAAGTGATCATCCGGTGAGAACCATTGTAATATTCAGTTAATATCTAAGGATGCATGTAAAGTGATAATCTGGTTAAAAAACATTGTAATTTTAGAGTATATTTAAGAAATCATGTAAAGTGATCATCTGGTGAAAACCATTGTAATATTTAGTTAATATGTAAGCTAGCATGTAAAGTGATCATCTGGTGAAAACAATTGTAATATTCAGTTGATATGTAAGAAGGCATGTAAAGTGATCATCTGGTGAAAACCATTGTAATATTCAGTTAATATGTAAGGAGGCATGTAAAGTGATCATCTGGTGAAAACCATTGTAATATTAAGTTAATATGTAAGGAGGCATGTAAAGTGATCATCTTGTGAAAACCATTGTAATATTCAGTTATTATGTAAGGAGGCATGTAAAATGATCATCTGGTTAGAACAGTTGCACTGTTCAGTTATCATCTAATGATGCGTGGGAAGTGATAATCTGATTAAAACCCCTGCAATAATCAGTTAGTGATTAAGGATGCATGGTAAATGGGAATCTGGTTTTAACGTTGCAGCCAGTATATAAATTCAAAGTGAAACTGAGCAAAAGCAAACCATACGCTCGTTTTCCCTGGTTGTTACACTTCGCAACCGCTTCCGGAGACGACCACCAGTCGATGCTTGTGCCCCACCAGTCAGATTCCACTAGCCCGATAGGATAGTTCAGGTGAGGGTACATGCGTTCTCCAAACATGAAACATAATGCTGAAAATCCGTACAGATCCTCTGCAAAAGAAATTTGATCAGTCAAATATACATGATACTGCTCCGCATAGGGGGTTTGAAATTCTGCCCATGTATCAATGCTCATTGTATCATACTCATTCAAAGTGAGCTCAGACTCTCTAATCGGGTTCATTGCATGGCATTGTACTTGACAGTGTGGCAGGTTACCCTGAATATCTATCACACATTTGTCAGTTCCAGAATCGGTTATGAAATCACCTCCGTTATAGCTGAATTATTGCTGAGTGTGGCGTTAAACAACAAAGATATTACACAGGTACAGTGTGACCCAGATGTCAGTGGGTTCATTTCCATGTGCTCAGAAATACTACATGGTAACACAATCTTCCTGCCTGCTTGTGTTGAATCCTTTGGAGGCTGAGATGTGATGTTACAGTCTCAGGAGATGTTTAAAACAAGCATACATCGCGTTTACGATGTCGTCACCATTTGTAGTGAACACAAAGATGGTACTAAAGAATGTTGTTCATATATTCGAAACATGTATGGTTGCGAATGGGATCAAGGTTCTTTTAAAAGTAACATTTAACATTTAGTATGGAGACGACCTCACCAAACTCTAACAGATACATGAACATGGAAATTGAAAACAATAAATAAACACACGTGTAGCGACAAGGAACAAAGACATCCCAAATGGGACAGAATCAGACAGGACATTTTATGTCAGTGACTTGGAGCAAAGGTGTGGTGATCCATTATTGATGTCATTATTTTGAAGAGATCTGAACTGAAATATACTTGAGTTTGGAGTTGTCCACGGTATCTTGACCTTCTGTAGATCCATAAGAGGTGTCGATGATGACACATGCTCAGCCTTGAATAGACGTATGTCAGTGAACTTCAAGCCACTTTGTACTTCATATGTATTATTCAGAACCTACAAAGAAAAATACTTCAATAACAGGCGGGAGGATTTGGATTACCAAGCACGCGGGTTCCTCCAGGTGGTAATGGACATGATTTACATTCCATCGAGACAATAAGGCAATATGTGTTCAGTCAAACGGCATTCCCCTGGGCGTCAGAAAACAATGGGAGACGTTGTCAACACATGATACAGTGTTGCGCAACACACCGGGCACTCCAACAGGCATTCCATAACCCTTTCCATGGGCATACTTTGTGTGGAACTACAACTGTGTCCATGCATATATCGCATGTAGAGTTACAGCATATCATTAATTACACATTAATTACCTGATACATTGTAAACTCCATGTTGCTCTGTCCAGAACACACCCAGACATCGCCAAACAACACATCATGGAGACTCTTGCTTCCTTCACTAGATCTCACAGTCACATCAAAGGGGCCTATTTGGTAAACTGCTGACAACTTGACCTTCCAGAATCCTTTCCCATCTGATGCCGTTGTTACTTTACCGCTTCCCTTGGCAACACCGTTACCAACTGTTACTGTAACAGTATCGCCGATCGTAGTTGCCCGTCCAGTAATGATAGCATGCTTGGGACCTCTCTGTAGAACCATGTGGTCGCCATAGTAAGATGAGAATGTAATGTCTCCATTAACAACTGAAAATACACGCATCACATTGCAATCGTTTTCTCATAGAACTGATGATGCTATACATTTCTGCTGCACAAGCACAAGTGTCAATTTTTAAAACTGAAAGGTTTGTATGTTCATTAATCAGGATTGTTGTGTTATATTGTTCACCATAAACAGTCACTATACCGTATGTTCCACGCTAAAGGGAATGGAAACAAAGCCGTAATGGTAACACGAACGTCAGCATAGCCACATCGCACACAAAAAATATACTCACCTGTCAGGATCAAAAACACAAGCAAAACTCCATTAAGAGTCAACATGCTGACGTCCATACGAGACACCAACTGTACAACATTGTGACTTATCTCACTGAGACCACATGTCGTTTTCCCTCAGATGCAAAGGCACAAAAAGAAATATGCTTAGAACATGGTTTTAAATAACCCAGAAGATTGTGCATGCAATTGTTACAGCGTGCTGTTAATTCAAACGGTTAAACAACCATGTGCCTTTGACAATTTAAATATCATTTAGCTAATTATCATGTGCTGTCTACTTAAGTCAGTCATTATCTTCAACACCTTGTATTATACGTACCAGAGACCCGTGAAGATCCGAGTTAGAATTGATCTTCAGTAACCCATGCTTGTCGTAAGAGGTGACTAACGGGAATGGGTGTTCATGCTCGCTGACTTGGCGATGTCATCGTATCCAAATTGCGGATCGATGCTCATGATGTCGATCACTGGATTGTCTTGTGCAGATTTGACTATTTACAGGCCGCCGCCATATAGCTGGAAAGCTGCTGAGCGCGTCGTTAAACAACAACCAACCAGCCAGCCAATACCTACTAGGCTTCATATATATTAAACGTACAGTGGCTATGTACAAAATATGTGTTTGGTTTTTAACACAACACTCAGCAACTGGTGTGTGGTGTTTTCAAACTTGGTCAAGATTGGGATTGAGGAAAGTCAGCGGAAAACCTTTCCCATAGAGTATAGTACTTATCCAACTATAAACTACATATACTAGGCACATAAAGAAACTGTGCATACAAAAATTTAAAATCTAAATTTATCAAACCTGTATAGACACATAAGGATTTAAACTCAGAGATTAGTGACATGTATCCAACATGCATGCACGTGCCACGTTCCGTGACGTCAGTGGGTTCGTCCTTGAGACGTGCAATACGTTGTTGCACTTGCGTTCCTAGAAAGAGAAACAGAGCAAATGAATGCCACACAATACTGTCACTTTGGAAAGCTTAACCCCTGCCCTTGCGATCGTTCAAAAAATTAAACGGCTATTGAAACGCATAGCATGCCAAGGCTCACGTCTGCACAACGTCATGAGGCCATTGGGATGGTCCGTGGGGGAATGTCTAAACGACAAGTGGCTGCACATTTCCACTGCCACCGGAACACCATTTCTGCACTGGTGAGACGCTACCAGAACACAAATGACGTCATCGATCGGACACGTTCTGGACGTCCACGTGTAACAACGCCAAGACAGGACAGATGGATAAGGGCGACCCATCTTCGCCACAGGTTTCAGACTGCAGTGATGACTGCCCGAACCATCCCAGGACTTCGTCGTATCCACCCAAACACAGTTCGACAACGTTTACGTCATCACGGAATCAGACCACGACGTCCAGCCATACGGCCTATCCTGACACAACGTCATCGACAAGCTCGCCGAATGTGGTGCCGAAATCATGTCCGCAGACCCTTGTTTTGGTGGAGAAATGTTGTTTTTACAGATGAGTCCAGGTTTAACATTTCACATAGTGATGGACGTCAACGTGCCTATAGACGCGTGGGAGAACGTTATGCACAGGCCTGTGTCTTGGAGAGGAATCGCTTTGGTGGTGGTTCCGTGATGATTTGGGATGGATTAACAGCACGCCAAAGAACTCCTTTGGTGATTGTTCAGGGCAACTTAACTTGTGTGGGCTACAAGGATCAGATTCTTCGACCTGTGGCAATTCCTTTTCTGCAACGTCATGGCCCTGGGTTAACATTCCAACAGGACAATGCCCGCCCTCATACGGCAAGGGTTGCTATGGATTTCTTGCAACACCACAACGTTGACTCACTGCCTTGGCCTGCAAATTCACCGGATCTCTCCCCGATAGAGCATGTTTGGGACGAGATGGATCGACGTCTACGCCGTCTTCCTCATCCGCCAGATAACGTCCTTGACCTTGCAACAGAACTTGAGAGAATCTGGCGTGACATCCTACAAGCCTTCCTTGCACGTTTGATAAGCTCTATGCGTCGTCGATGCACTGCTGTTCTCAATGCCGATGGTGGACATACCCGTTATTGAGCTTGTGACATGGTCGCCTGTGGACTCGTGACGTCATTGTGATTGACTTTCCAATTGAAATTCTCCCGACTTGTTATGATCTTATGATCCCTCCATTAAAGTTTATATGTACCTTTGACATTGTTACCGTACTTATCACCTGGGATACAGTTTCTTTATGTGGCTAGTATATGTATATCCGTAGTAATCATCTGGTATCAGTAGGGGGCACGACACGTCTAGAGACGTTTAACACCTAATAAATATCTTTTCATTCATTATTCAAATAGTATTTGCCAATTATGGTCACTTTTTTTCATGCACGCAGTGTTGCTTAATAACCATGAATGAACCAGTTACCGTGTGCTGTGTGATCGTGGAAGCGGACTGAATGTCACGGTCTGTTTGGTATGTTTGTTTGTTTGTTTGTTTGGTGTGTAATTCCGCACTCAGAAATATCCCATCCATATGACGTCGGTCAGTAAATTATTGAGGCTGGAACAGAAAATCCAGTGACAGACATCATGAGAATAGATGACATTGAGTCAGCGAACCTGACCACCCGATCATATTTGCCATAGTTCCCATTCTAACCCTAAACTGAAACGAATATATCACAGCGGCGGGTGTACCCTGAAACAGACCAAGCTAAGAGACACCTGCTGCATACTAAAACTGTTTCAGCTATGCGCAAATTGGAAGTCCCATTGTTTTAAGCGGGATATTGAGAGGGTTTTCAGGTTTTCGTTTCTTACGGTCCATTGTAAAAACAAAATCATTGTTAAGATAAGAAAAAGCTCTCTTACTGCATTTAGCAGTGATATCTTATGAATGTGGAAAAGGTTTTGTTGTTGTATATATTTACGTGACAAGTGAAGTAGTTTTGAGAGTCAGGGAAGTAAATCGTCGTTACCCTTTGTCATCGGTGTTTCTATATAATATACCACCCATCAAAAGTTTTGACTCATTAGTGTAAATGTAGCCACTTACTTCAGTCAACTGTTCTAAACTACGTTTTGCTAAATATTCCATACTGTTTAAAGGTACTGTTTATACATGAATTGAACATATTCGCAAGTTTGAAAGTATACTTGTCATGAGTTCAATAAATGATGAAAATCAATGAAAATTGGCGAATTCTTAACAACACCTTACACCAAAAGGCAGCAGTGGACATGCACGATATTTGCACGTGCTATTCAGCATTTTGATGCATGTTCCTCGTGCAATTCATCTGCATATGGTTTGCAGTTGGTTCCCCTAAGTTAGTGGAGAAATTCATCTTCGATGTAACCATATATACAGTGGACTCTGGCAATACCGGCCTCTGTAAACACCGGCACTCTGTCTACATCGGCACAAAGTTTCAGTCCCGGCAGAAATGCACGTAATTATCATTTAGAAACATCTGTAAACATCGGCATCTGTCTATTCATGTATACATGCACGCACACGCACGCACGCACACACACACACACACACGCAAACACACACACACACACACAAAACACACACAAACACACACACATAACATAACATAACATAACATATAGTGAGTGCTTTAAGTGAGTCTAAACTTTTGATGGGTAGTATATCTTCAGTACACATTCACCATATATTCAACAGCAACATATAGTTGAAAACACTTTATTGACCCTGACAGACACATATATATATTACAATGGGTGACTAAAACCCATCATATTTCTTGAAGGGTAATGCAGGCAGATCGGTGTCCCTTCCATACACTGCACAGGACCTGAGAGGGCATGGGATCTCCCACCACAGGTAATGGACACAGGTAGACAACGTAATTGATGCTGTGTCGTGACTCACTATCGCAGCTTCTTACCAATGATCATGGGACTGACAGGTCCTATGGCCAGAGCAACAAACCTGTCACAGGAGATACATTCTTACAGATAGTACGACAAACCCGATTATAGAGATCGAATATTTCTGAAATCCTTTTAAAAGTTATATATAAAGGGTAGTCCCAATAAAGAGTGCAAATGCTAAATTTGTGACTAAATATATACTTGACATTAAAGTTAGCGATAATGAAAACTTTGTCAATATAAGTTTAATGCAGGCAGAGTACACAAGTTCATGAAAATATCCCCAAAATATTCATGATCCCTATTTTTTGTTCACTATAGCAGAACCCTCTACATGAACAGCATCCTAATTTGGATGTCTTTTGTTATACGCCCCACATGAGGAAGGGAAAACGCGGGGCATTTATTTCTCTGCAAATCAATTTCATAAATGCATTGTACCTCGTAACCATGGCTGTTTCTAACAATGTCCTGCTTGAAGCGAGGATGCACACTGTCGGGTACAACAAATACCAGGTCTTAGCAAACAGTGGAATCATGACGGCATCTACATATCCACATATGGCATCGGTGGTGGGTCCGCTGGTGTCTGGCCTGTTGGGTAGATGATCCTAAAGGAAGATCATAAATAGAGGACGCATCATGGATTGGGGTTAGTTGCATCTGTACCGTCCTACCACCAAGGTGAAACATGCACGGAAGATGGTGATTGTCCCTGAAGAGTTATGGCAAAGTCTGCAAGAAGAAAAACGTCAACGGCAGTTGCTCAAGTCCAACCTGTTGGAACAGAAACACTTGCACACGCTTCACGATATGGATACCCTCGTCCGTGATGACACGGTTTCCTTTAGGGACAGAGAGCACCAGTATAACACCTTGTTGCAACACACCTTGGCGTTTCAAGACCAAGCAGCGACCAAACCACGGTCTTTAGATGCAACTGGAACCCCTAGGACTGGAACCCCCAGGGTTGGAACCAGGGACGAGACACCCAGGGATGGAACTCCCCTAGCTCACCGTAAGTACGGTTTACTTACTGAGTCACACTCGTGATCGTCCCGCGTAGAGGTCGCATTCATAAGAATCAGTCCGCGAAGCCGGTCGTAGAGCAGTGGCTCATGTTTTTTTGTTCTTTGTTTCAGAACCGATGTCAAAGCGATTCTGAATGAAGTCGTGCAAACGGTTCCCAAAACGCTACAAGCCGAGGCCAAGCAGTTG